TTGAATCTATAATTTGTCATCTGAGCCATTTAATTTCAATGTTTAACCCATTTATATTTAATGTTATTACTGATGTTGTTGTTGTTTAGTTGCTAAGTTGTGCCTGACTCTTTTGCAACCCCATGGATTGTAGCCCACTAGGCTCCTCTGTCCTTGGGATTTCCCAAGCAAGATTGCTTGAAATTGCCATTTCCTTCTCCAGGGGATCTTCCTGACTCAGGAATCAAACCCATATCTGCTGCTTTTTAATATGCTGTCTAGACTGGTTATAGCTTTTCTTCCAAGGAACAAATGTCTTTTAATTTAACGGCTGCAGTCACCATTCACACTGATTTTGGAGCCCAAGCAAATAAAGTCTGTCACTGTTTCCACTTTTTCTCCATCTGTTTCCCATGAAGTGATGGAACTGGATGCCATGTTCTTCATTTTTTGAATGTTGAGTTTTAAGCCAGCTTTTTCACTCTCCTCTTTTACTTTCATCAAGAGGCTCCTCAGTTCCTCTTCACTTTCTGCCATAAAGGTGGTATCATGTGCATATCTGAGGTTATTGATATTTCTCTCAGCAATCTTGATTCCAGTTTGTGCTTCATCCAGCCGGGCATTTTGCATGATGTACTCTGCAGGTAAGTTAAATAAGCAGCGTTGCAATAAACAACCTTGACATACTCCTTTCCCAATTTTGAACCAACCCATTTTTTCATGTCCAGTTCTAACTGTTGCTACTTGTCCTGCATACAAGTTTCTCAAGAAACAGGTAATCTGGTCTGGTATTCCCATCTCTAAGAATTTTCCAGTTTGTTGTGATCCACATGGTCAAAGACTTCAGTGTAGTCAATGAAGCAGAAGTATATGTATTTTGGAATTCCCTTGCTTTTTTTGTGATCCAACAGATGTTGGGAATTTACCCTCTTACCTCTTCATATATATAGTTTAAGAAACTTAAAACAGTATATATCAATTTCTCCTTTTCCAGTCTTTGGATTCTTTTTGTTAAACCTTTTATTTCTACTTAAATTATAGCTTACACAATGCATTTTAAAATTTTGTTTTAGGTAGTCAAAATTTTTGGACAATAATTGCTTTACAATATTGTGTTGTTTTCTGCCATACGTGAATGTGAATCAGCCACAGCACTCTATTATTTTTGATATATCCAGATTTCTTCCTAGTACTATTTTCTCTATCTGAGGGAGGGAATTTCTTTAATATTTTTTGACGTGCAGGTCTGCTGCTGATGAATTCTCTAACATTTGTATGTCTGAAATTGCCTCTCTTTCACTATCATTTTTGGAAAACGTTTCATTAGTAAAGAATTCTAAGCTAATAGTTTTTCATTCAGTACTCTTGAAGTGTTGCTCTCCTGTTTTATTAACTCCAGTTGCTTCCAAAGAGAAGTTTGCTGACTTTGTTTTCTTTCCTTTTTTTTTTTCCTGTATATAATGTGCCATTTCTTTTGGCTGCTTTTAAGATTTTCTCTTTATCACTGAAAGTGAAAATGTTAGTCACTCAGTCATGTCCCACTCTTTGTGACCATGTAGACTGTAGCCCACCAGGCTCCTCAGTCCATGGAATTCTCCAGGCAAGAGCACTGGAGTGGGTAACAATTTCCTTCTCCAGGGGATCTTTCCAACCCAGGGACTGAAGACAAATCTCTGGTATTGCTGGCAGACTCTTTACTGACTGAGTCACCAGGGAAGCCTCCTTATCCCTGGTTTTAAACAATTCAATTGATTCTTTAAGCTTCACTTTTAAGTTTCTAGATCTTATTTTCTCTCCACTAATGACCCCAATACCTTCTCTTATACCACTATTGTCCCATGGATTATAAGGTTTTTCTATTCAGCTAGTTGTGATAAGAACTATTTCCAGTCCTTTGAAATTTCTGAGTATTGTTTGCTAAATTATTTTTGTGTATATCTTTCCTCAGTCTTCATTACTTCCTTTATATATGAGTGTTCAGTATTCAGCTGAAACATGATAAGGATCCTCTGCAGAGCTCCAAATTTTTCTTCTTCTCTGTAGTGCCCTATGCTGTAAAATCTACCTCTCTTGGCTTCTCCACACTCCAGTTTTGTATCATCTACCTTAGGAAGACTTCAAGGCTCCAATGTGATTTACTTACCTTAGGTCTAAGCTTGGAAAACTTATATAGGCTGCAAGCTGGGACAGTTGTAGAGCTCACTTCATTGGCTTCCTGTTTCCCCTGGATCACTGTCCTTCGATATCTAACATTTTAAGAATCATAATTTCATATCTCTTGTCTAAATTTTTAGTTGTTTCAAGTAAGAGGGTAAGTATGTTCCCTGTTTCTCCATCTTGGCCAGAACTGAATTTTCTATAATTATCCTTTTTGAGATTAAAGATATATTTGTACTTTTACTTGTGCAAAAAAACATAATTGTTAAAAATATTATAGTGATTTTATTATATTGCATTATATGGAGTTTTTCACACATTATTTAGCAGCATTATTTGAGAGTAGTTTGATATCTTTAATAATGATTTGGTTTACATTTTCCTATGCACATAATTGCTAACTTGTTTATTTTTTCCTAATGGAATATTTATAAAAGTATAATTGCTAAAACAAATTTTAAGGCTTTTAACACATATTGCTAAATTGCTCAGTTTGGTCAAGCTTCAGGTGATATGTGAAGAATGGATAAAATGATTGTATCTGTGTTTGAGAAAGTAGAAACTCACTATCGTGTGAAGAGTTGTTGATGGTTGAGAAGAGGAGAGGCTAGAGATAAGAATTCCAGTTAGAAAACCAAGCAGCATGATGATGACAAGAGTCTAAATTAACGTATTGCTATAAGAATCAAGAAAGGAGAGAAGGATTTCAGAAATATTTCTGAAGCACAATCCACAGGTTCTGAAATTAATTGGATGCTGATAATCTTTGCATAATTTGACCATGGACTGAAACAGGAAGTTCTTAAGGCAAGCAAGTTTTGTATATGTGGAGGGTCAATTCATTACTCAATTAATTAATTTGTATTAGAGTTAAATTGCATAGAAACCACCTATGGGACATTTGAGTAATTACAGTTAATACAAAGTCAGTTTAGTTAAGAGTTTTCAGCTTGAGACATTGGTTTGAGTATTTTCATATTTAGGCAAATACATAGCAGTGACAACTTATCATGGATATGCAACCTATAATTTTCATTTCCTAGGTAAAAATATCTAGAGTGAGAACATGGAAAGGCCAAGGAAAGAATTAAACTTGTGTGTACATTCTGAGTATGAGTAGAATAAAATAATTCTAAGAGAATACATGAAATGACTGTTATAAAGGTAAAAGGAGAGACTGGCATGCAAAATCCAAGAGTTGGGGGAAAAAATACTGAGAAAGGAGAAATGTCCATGATATCAAATATTGTCACAGTGGCCCAAAGCAGTAAGTATCAAAAGATATCTTGAAATTGTGCAATTGTTTTAGTAAAAGTAGCATTAGATCATTTGGGAAATCATCTGGCTATAGAAGTGAATGGGAAGAAATTTAAGATCCAGAATATATTAGGTGCATGTAAAAAAAGTGAAAAAATGGAGTCTCCATGTCCAGTATGCTAGTCTTCATCATGGGGTGAACTAGAATAAACTTCATCCTGATCAGGCAGGCTGGTAACATTAGGGCCAATACTTGAGTTAGATTTAGGGTTGAATCTTCAATGTAAAAATTAATTTGATTGCAGCAGATTGCTAACATATATTTGTTGATTTTAATTGGGAAGAAACTGCAGTATAGACATAGACGTAAATGTGTCATCATAAAGCTGCAGAGTCTGGAATACCTAACACTAGATTCAATTGAGATAGTATTCACTGAATACTAAGATAACATCATGAAAAACAGAAACAACAACAACAAAAGCCAGGGATTGGGGAGGCAGAGTGAAGATAGATGAAAAACAAGCAAATAAAAAATGGTCTTGGTAATTCTAAATACTTATTTCCTATAATCGATGTAGTGAAGGAAAGTTGCTATAATTATTAAACTTATATAATGTTTTCCCTTTTTTGGCATAATGTTGTTGCTATTTAGTTGCTGAAATGTGTCCAACTCTTTGTGACACCCCATGGCCAGTGGCCCACCAGGCTCCTGTATCCATAGCATTCTCAGCCAGGAATACTGCAATTGGTAGCTATTCCTTTCTCCACGGATCTTCCCAGATCTGGGATGAACCAGTGTCTCCTGCATAGGGAAGCGATATCAAGTAAATAAGTGGATGGCTAGCAGGTAAACAAATATCAGAGAGCTTTTTGTTAGAGAATTAAAGAAGCTTTCAGGAGGAGGAGGCAACCAGTTGCCAGATTCTTGTTATCAGTTCTGCAGATGATGTTCTAAAATATCTAGCTAATTTTTGTCACTATTTTAGACATGTCACCATAAAATGTGGATTCTAGTAGCGTTACATGCCACACCCCAAACATGTTTGTATACCAAGAATTCTGTAATGATTAATGTTATTTCCAAGACCGCCAACAGAACTAATAATAATTAGCCACCTATAGCCTGAAATGCAGATAAACGATCAGCTTTCCCCTTCCCAATTCATTTCTTTCTTTTGTTTAATAGCACAAAGAAGCAACTGTCTTCTGCATGCGACATCATAGTCCCTCCCATAGCAACAGGCATTTCTATCAGACAGCAGATACGAATTCTTGAAGGAGAGAGAACATATTTATATATAAATACACTAACAACTAGCAATTTCTAGGAGACAGAAATAGAGAGGAATAGGAATATCTCACAGATAAGAGTTTCTTTTTAAATGTTAATTTTTGTCTGACTGCAAACTTTATCTTTCAAACCCTTTCTCCCATTATTATCATCATACCTTGAGTGCTTACAGCTGAACACCGGTTCACTGTGACCTTTCTGAAATCACAAGCCATCCTTTTTCTTTGTCACTGTGATAATGGAATGGATCAGATTCTTCCTGCAGACATTATAATGGAGTTCAACTGTCTATGGCATACACTAATGAAAAATGTTAAACCTTTCCCGTCTCCGCCATGTGCCGCCAGAGCACACAGCAGATGCGCCGCCTGGAGAAGCCCATATGGCGGGCTGGTATCGGTGATATTTCCTCTAATGTCAAGGGAGCCTGCTGTATGGAAAGGATGCTGTGGGTGCCATTTGGAGGCTTAGGTACAAGTGCATCAAGTAAGAGCCACTTTATCTGTCTGCTGTCCCCCTTCACAGTGCCAGCTAGACTCTCATGGGCAGCCGAGTAGTCCTTTCTGCGGTGCGATTTTAGGGCCACCGGAAGCCCTTTCATTGCCCTCCACACCCCTCCCCTCCAACCACACGATATCTATCCATGCCCTCAGTTTTTTGATGTTCCTTTAACAGTCTGGAAACTTTTTACTGAAAGTGAAACACAACATATAAGATGCAAATATTGCAGACAGGGTAAAACACTGACTTAAATTCTTATTGTACAGGTATCAGTATAAATCATGGGCATTACTTCTGCTTCTCAAAGAAAAATGCAGTGTGGTCTATGTGCCATTACAGGAACGGAGCAGCTAAAGTGGCGTGAGGTAGGGAGAGTCAAAAATACTCTTAAATTCCATCCCTAACAGCCACTAAGTAACAGTTTTATTGGTCACTATCACATATTATTTCTTTTTTTTGTTTTGTTTTTTATTTTTTATTTGTTTTAATTGGAGGCTAATTACTTTACAATATTGGTGGGGGGGGGGGGTTGCCATACATTGACATGAATCAGCCATTGGTGTACATGCGTTCCCCATCCTGACCCTGCTCCCACCTCCCTCTGCATCCCATCCCTCTGGATCATCCCAGTGCACCAGCCCTGAGAGCCCTGTCTCATGAATTAAACCCAGACTGGCAATCTGTTTCACATATGGTAATATACATGTTTTAATACTATTGTCTCAAATCACCCCACCCTTGTCTTCTCCCACAGAGTCCAAAAGTCTGTTCTTTATCTCTATGTCTCTTTTGCTGTTTCGCATATAGTGTCATTGTTACCGTCTTTCTAAATTCCATATATATGCATTAATATATTATATTGGTGTTTTTCTTTCTGACTTATTTCACTCTATATAATCGGCTCCAGCTTCATCCACCTCATTAGAACTGGTTCAAATGCATTATTTTTAATAGCTGAGTAATATTCCATTGTGTGTATGTACCACGGCTATCTTATCCATTCATCTGACAATGGACATTTAGGTTGCTTCCATGTCCTGGCTATTGTAAGCAGTGCTTCGATGAACTTTGGGGTACATGTGACTCTTCAACATTATTTCTCATTGTCTATATTATTTCAGTTCAATTCAGTCACTCAGTCGTGTCCAATTCTCTGTGACCCCATGAACTGCAGCATGCCAGGCTTCCCTGGTTTTCCTTTACCAATGCCCAGAGCTGACTCAAACACATGTTCCACTGAGTCGGTGATGCCAAAAACCATCTCATCCTCTGTCATACCCTTCTCCTTCTGAATTCAATCTTTCGCAGCATCAGGGTCTTTTCCAATGAGTCAGTTCTTTGCATCAGGTGGCCAAAGTATTGGAATTTCAGCTTCAGCATCAGTCCTTCCAATGAATATCCTGGACCGATTTCCTTTAGGATTGGCTGGTTTGATCTCCTTGCAATTCAAGGGACTCTCAAGAGTCTTCTTCAAGACCACAGTTCAGAAGCATCAGTTCTTTGGTGCTCAGCATTCTTTATAGTCCAACTCTCATATCCATACATGACTACTGGAAAAACCATAGTTTTAACTACAAGGACCTTTACTGGAAAAGTAATGTCTCTGCTTTCTAATATGCTGTCTAAGATGGTCATAGCTTTTCTTCCAAGGAGCAAGCATCTTTTAATTTCATGGTTGCAGTCACCATCTTCAGTGATTTTAGAGTCTAAAAAAAAAAGTCTCTCACTGTTTCCATTGTTTCCCATCTATTTGCCATGAAGTGATGGGACTGGGTGCCATGATCTTAGTTTTCTGAAAGTTGAATTTTAAGCCAACTTTTTCACTCTCCTCTTTCACTTTCATCAAGAGGCTCTTTATTTCTTCTTTGCTTTCTGCCATAACGGTGGTGTCATCTACATATCTGAGGTTATTGATATTTCTCCCAGCAATCTTGATTCCAGCTTGTGCCTTGCCAGGCTGGCATTTCTTATGATGTACTCTGCATATAAGTTAAATAAGCAGGGTGACAATATACAGCCTTGATGTGCTCCTTTCCTGATTTGGAGCCAGTTTATTGCTCCACGTCCATTTCTAACTGCTGCTTCTGGACCTGCATACAGATTTCTCAGGAGGCAGGTCAGGTGGTCTGGTGTTCCTATTTCTTGAGGAATTTTCCACAGTTTGTTGTTATATACATAGTCAAAGGTTTTGATGTAGTCACTAAAGCAGTAGATGTTTTTCTGGAACTTTCTTGCTTTTTCATTGATACAATGGATGTTAGCCATTTGATCTCTAGTTCCTCTGCCTTTTCTAAATTCAGGTTGAACATCTGGAGATTCTGAAAACCGTACTGAAAACAGTACGGCTCATGTACTGTTGAAGCCTGGCTTGGAGAATTTTGAGCATTACTTTGCTAGAGGGTAAGATGAGTGCAATTGTGCAGTAGTTTGAACATTCTTTAGCATTGACTTTCTTTGGGATTGGAATCAAAACTGGCCTTTTCCAGTCCTGTGGCCACTGCTGAGTTTTCCAAATCTGCTGGCATATTGAGTGAAACACTTTCACATCATCATCTTTTAGGATTTGAAATAGCTGAACTGAAATTCCATCACCTCCACTAGCTTTGTTCTTAGTGATGCTACCTAAGGCTACCTGACTTCACATTCTAGGATGTCTGGCTCTAGGTGAGTGATCACACCATTGTAGTTATCTTGGTCATAAAGATCTTTTTTGTATAGTTCTTCTGTGTATTCTTGCCAGCTCTTCTTAGTATCTTCTGCTTCTGTTTGGTCCATACCATTTCTGTACTTTATTGTGCCCATCTTTGAAAGAAATGTTCCCTTGGTATCTCCAATTTTATTGAGGAGATCTCTAGTCTTTCCCATTCTATTGTTTTCCTCTAGTTCTTTGCATTGATCACTGAGGAAGGCTTTCTTATCTCTCCTTTCTATTCTTTGGAACTCTGCATTCAGATGGGTATATCTTTCCTTTTCTCCTTTGCCTTTAGGCATTTAAATCTTGTGAGAAAATGAACACCATTAATTAAAAGGACCAAAAGCTATAAACAGACTCTGGTAGGCAAGAAATCAAACCTTATAGATATTATATAATTTACAGTTTGCTTAGATGAGCCAAGAGAATACACATTTAGGAGACAGTAATAAATTTTATAAATCAGGGAAATGATAATGATGATAATGATCAGGTGAATATGCTCTTCTAGTTCCTCAGTGGAGACCCTACATTCAGAGTCTTGTGGCAATAAGCTGACCTAGATTTTGGTACATTATCCTGTTCTCCAGAAGTTACAACTTTATTAGGTCTTCCAAACTTCTCTGGATGAAAAGCATATATCCAGAATCTATATATAGGATTATATATAATTTCTTTATTATATATAGGTTTATAACAATGACCAGCATCTGGTCCAATCCCATCATAACTATGTGTTCAGGTGACCAGAATATTGGCATATGCTGCCCTTTTCTTCCAAATCACAGAAACCCAAAGAGATTAACCTGACATCCCTGGTCATGGCTTATCAACTACTCTGTACTTTAGTTTCTTCTTCAGGGACAGACTGAAACTGCATATATGTTTGCCAAGTCAAAGGGCCAAATGACAATTATATGGATGATTTTACCTAAGGCTTCACTATTTGCAAAATAGTATGAATAGCTAAGGTGCCTTTTTTTTTTTTTTAATCAGTATTTCTGGAAATTGGCATAGACAAATCACATAAAACTCAAATGTTTAGCTTCCTTCTTCTCTCAGGTCATGTCATTAAATTAATACATCATGACACTGCTGTTCTAATATTATATTTCCTGAATGTTCAACTAAACAAATTGTTCAGCTTGTATTTGCAGTTGGCAAAGAGACTGCAAGCTAAATCCCACAGCGATTAACACACAGGTTTTACAGTAACATGGCCTGTGTTCAATCCCCATTTCAGACATATTTTTCAGTCTACCTATGTCTCAGTTTCCTAATCTTCTCAAAGGAGATAGTAATAAAAATCCCTAGCATGAATTTGCCAAGAAGGTTAAATTAAGTAGGGCACATGAGATATTTCCAACAATGCATGGGGCAGAGTAAGCCCTTTGTAAATTTATTAGTCAACTTCTGGTTACAGAGGGAAGGTGAGACTGTTGAATGCTAAACTAAAATAAGTTCATTGAAGACAAAGACTTCAGTGATCCCTTCAGACAAAGACTTCAATAACCCCTTCAAACACACATGTACCCCCCCCCCCACACACACATGCATGCATGCACACAAACGCCACAGAACATAATTCAGTGCCTAACACAAAACTGAAACTTGAGGAGAATTCTGTGGTATCTGTGTTCTGTAGTCTCCAATCCATATGATTGGCTTATCTATCTCAAGACTGACAGCTGAGCCTTTCGTTTGGAACTCCTGTTAAACAACCTTTCTAGGACAATAAGTAGATGAAGTGCCACACCCCTAAAGTTGATGAAACTAAAACACTTCCTAACAGTATACAAATTGGCTCTGGTTTCTTGCCAGGGCTTTTTCTGGTACACTGGATGAAGATTTGATTGCTGGCTGGCAAGTACACTGACTTGATGTGTGATCCCTGAGGTTTTAATTGCTTTGATCACATTCTTTTTTCACTGAACAGTGTAGTTGTTGGCAATTACCCCTTTCCTCATTACCGCCAACTGGCTGTAGCCTGTTGTACATCTTTCTTTTATTGCTCATCACTCTTAGTTTTTCATAAAAGCCTAAAAACAATCCTAGCACCTTGGCATACCAACCTTGGCCGTTAAGAAGATCCCTCACTGGAATAATGCATTCCACTGAAGTTTACTGTAAATGAAACTCAATAACTAATTACATTTTTGTGCACCAGTGTTCTTGCCTGAAGAATTCCAGGGATGGCGGAGCAGGGTGGGCTGTCGTCTATGGGGTCACACAGAGTCAGACACGACTGAAGTGACTTAGCAGCAGCAGCAGCAGTACTATCATTTATAGTGAGTCAACTCTTATCGTATTTCTGCTGCGAACAAAAATATGTATTTATATTCATTTGAGCTATCATTTATCATTTGATTCATTGATTGATACATGTATCCACCTAACAAATCTTCATT